ACATATGAAACATAAATTATGCATGCATGGGTGATTCTCCAAAACCTGACATTTTCAAATTATAAATTCTGAAGTACTGAAAGTGCTTCAAAAATTCTGAAAGACATCATATTTACTCTTTAAAATGCAGATAATATAAAAATAACTAACTTTCATGATGCTGACTAATTAGTCAATCTTTGGTCTTAGAAAATGGCTGAAGAAGTGACATTTTTACATGTCAGGAGAGTGATGTTTTTTTTTAATACTTATATTATTCCCCCTACAAAGTTTCTTAGGACCGATTAAAGCTTATGAAAGATTTAGGCTTAAGAAAGATTTAGGCTTAAGAAAGATTTAGGCTTAAGACGGATTTACGCTTAAGATAGATTAGAATGTTCTTTTACAAGAATAGTCTTCTACTAGAATCATAACATCTATTACACACATAATAACATCTATTATTTTTAAAAGCAAAATGTTTTCGTGTAGAATAAATATGCTGTAGAGGAGAATTACAATCGAAACTCTTATATGCTTTAGTTTAGAACTTTTAATCTATGATTAGAACATCAGGCGAATCTGATCTTCGAAGCACTTCAATCAATTCAAACAGAATGGTGAAAATAAACAAGATTGCAATGTGAAAAACTATAACTTTGATTTCCCCCCCCCTAGAAATATTAAAAACAATTTTGCGCCAGGAGAATGACATGAAAATCTTTCATATGATAACATTTTTATATGGTAAACTTTTATATGATATGATTATGAACAAACTTTTATATGATAAAACTTGGTGTTTAAAATCATTAACCACTTTAAAAAAATATTATTTTACACCTTCAAGTATACATATAGTTTATTAATGTACTTCAAGTACTGAAATAACAGTGTCAAAATGTTATATAAATTAAAAAAGCTTAAGAAAAAGTTATGGATAATCAAAGAGAGTAACATTTAGCTAATTTTAATTAATTTATTTATTTATTTATTTTAAAATTGTAAATTCATAGTTTTTTTTTTTTTTTTTTTTTTTTTTTTTTTTTTGAGCATGGAAATTTAGGGGAAAAATTATGCCTTAAAAGTATAAAAAATAAAAACTGCCTATTTGAAGCCAATTATGTGATATTGTGATAAGACATGATATATTCCATATAATAAATATTATATTATGAATATTACACTTAAGTCAAATAGTACAAGTCATATTATTAATTTTAATATTTGATTAAGGTATAATATTTATAATTTATATATTATGATTTATATTTGTATAAGTAAAATATTGATAATTTTAAATCTCTCTAATTATGCCACAACGCAGAAAAATTTAGGAACCCTTTAGTCAAGTCAATCGTAACGTTCTATATTAAATAGTAATTCCATTACGTTGATTCATATTTTAAATATTGTAAAGCAATTTCTTCATTTACATATTTCCAGTACACTTTTTAAAAAAAAATTGAAATCTTGTTTAATGATCAACACGTGGTAATGACCAACAATATTATGCATTATATATAATCTAATATTGTAGCAATCGATATTGTAACCTTCGCGTTAATTTCTGCATTATAAATTAAGATTATATCGCTAAATATTGATGGCATAAATTACTTGACGTATGCTCTAAATTCTGTATAGGGATGGACGAGAGGAGGGCTATGAAATTGCAACAATGTGGTGGCTAAGTGGGCTCTAAATACCCCTCTAAGAGAAAGCTTTCGTAGAGAAGATTATCCATGCATGACTAGTTTGAGCTTAATCGGGGTATAATGGCTGCTTATATTTCACATACTTAATGAATAAGTTAACTGAAGAGCAAGTTAGTAAGTTTTGGAATAGTGTTAGTAGCAGTTTTGAATTTATGTGCTAAAGTTTTATATTTGTTACATCATCAGTATTGTTGGATATTATATGATTAAATTTAATCATATGATCATAATAAAATATATATTAAATTTTATCATATACTTATGGTAATAATTAATGAGATCAATAATTATTAGTGATATTAGTAATAATTTAATAATATTCAAAATGAATAATGATATTAAAAATTAATAATGATATTAATAATTATACTTATAATTAGTAGTGATACGTATTATTAATGATAGTAATAAATATATTGATAATTATTAGTGATGCTAATCATTCATAATGTAATAACTATTAGCGATGCTAATAATTATTGATATTATTAATTATTACTGATATTAATAATTTTTAATGATGTTAATAATTACCGGTTTTTGATATAACATCAGAATTGGTAGCTTTCGTTAAGAAGATTATCCATGTAAAACTAGTTTGAGCCTAATCTGGATATAATGGCTGTTTANTTATTAGTGATGCTAATCATTCATAATGTAATAATTATTAGCGATGTTAATAATTAGTGATATTATTAATTATTACTGATATTGATAATTTTTAATGATGTTAATAATTACCGGTTTTTGATATAACATCAGAATTGGTAGCTTTCGTTAAGAAGATTATCCATGTAAAACTAGTTTGAGCCTAATCTGGATATAATGGCTGTTTATATTTCATATTCTCATTAAATAAGTAAACTGGAGAGCATATTAGTTAAGTTTGGGTTCAGGGTTAGTAACAGTTTCAAAATTATGCGCTTAAGTTTTACCAGTATAAGATTTATTTAATAATAAACTTAGATTAAGTATTAACGAGAATAATTATTATCAGTGACATTTTTAATTATTTAATGATATTTATAATTGTGAGTGATACTAATAATTATTAATAATATTAACAATTATAAATTATACTAATAATTAATTATATTAATAATTATTATTGTTACTTATTATTAGTGGTACCAATTATGAATGATATTAATAATTAATTATTAATGATATTACTAATTAGTGAAGGGCTTTGCATCTGAAAAGTTTTGGGTTCAAACACCGGACAAGGCATGGATGTTGTTTCATTCTCTGTACTATTTGTCCTTACTGTGTTAACGTTGGCCCACCTAAGTGGTGCCTCGGAAAGAGAAGCCAACAAATCTGCCCTAATTCACCTGAATTGAAATTGATGAATGTCATGACAGGTGGGCATTGGAAAAAAAATAGTGATACTCTTAATTATTACTGATATTGATTATAATTAATCGTATCAATAATTACCTACTTTGATATAACATTTGACATAACAACAAAATCAATGATTATTACACTTAAACCAATATTTTACATTAGTTTTAGACAGGTATGTTAAACATATAGTTTTATAAATTCACACGTAATAATTGTTTTTTATTATATAATTATTTAACGAAAGAGGTATATGCATATTTAAGTCACACCTTTTTGGTATTTAATCATGTAGTTATTTATAATGAGATTAATTATTATTAGTGCTATTATTCATTATTTAATAATATTAATAATTGTGAGTGATATAAAGGATTATTAATATTATTAATATGCATTACTGATTTTAATAATTAATGATAATCATAATTAGTGATATTATTATTAATTGCTGATATTAATAATTATTAATGGTGTTAATAATTACCAGTTTTGATATAACATTTGATATAATCACCTGTTTCGATATAACATGAAACCAGTAATTGCAAAAGTATTAGGTAGGTATGTATTAAGTAATATATAGTTTTATAAATTCACGTGTAATAATTATTTTTTCTTCAATGATACAGGTACACGCGTATTTAATTCTCACTTGTTTGGTATTTAAATATTTTATTTTAAGATACCTTTTTTCGGAGTTATTCAACCTGTGGAGTTATTCAACCTGTGTAATTGGTGTTGAATAACGTATTGTTTATGTGAATATCCGATCTTAATGCTACTAACAATAAGTCTAGTGATATGTTAAGAAAATAGTGATTTTTCATCGAAAATATGAAGCATAGATTGTTTTAACGTGTATAAAATATCATAGCGGAATATCGTGTTATTAGGTATGGCTTTAAATAAATTAAATGGTGCTGCAAATTACTATAATGACCATATATCAAAGATGATGGGATTGAATTTATAATAAATTTAACCTTGGAAAAGTTGTATGCAGCTATATTGCAATAAACTTATTTTATTTTATAACCGTCGTTGAACAGAAGACCCAATTTTGGGTTTACAACTACTGATGTTCAACTCTGTAGCCCTGTAATCTTGAACCCAATCCAGAAGGCAAGGGAGCTCCTAGATCAAGTATTGGAAGAAATTTTTTCGTGGAGGACTTTTTGAGGGAACTAACCCGCATTTGCGTTACATGGAGAGGAGGACCACGAGAATCTCCCACGGTTAGCCTGACGGCAAGGAGACTCTGACCCATGATCCGTCTACCACTGAGGATATTTTACGTCAGCACTGTTGCTGGAATTCGTATCGACTAGGATTCGAACCCGGTTCGCCTCATTGGAAGGCGAACGCTCTATCCACTGATCCATCACGGCTCTGCAATAAACTTATTTATTTATTTATAACTGTCCTTGAACATCCGACCCAATTTTGGGTTTAGGACTATACTAATGTTCAACTCCGTAACCTTGTAATTCTGAACCCAATTCAGAAGACAAGGAAACTCCTGGACCAGTACCCCCAGAGGTTTGATTTGTTATGGGAACATGGAGAACTTTATGTCTCGACAGATTTAACGTGGATCAGTCATCATTTACGACATGGGGAGACTTCGGCCCGGAGGGGATCGAACCCACGACCTCCTGGACATAGGCCCCAACCAGGCTATTCCAACCAACAGGCAATAAACTTAGAAAACTTTGGGTAAAGAAAACAATGATGCGTACTCGATTACTAAGAACTCTCGGGGTAGCGGGAAAGTGGGACCTATGTTTATCGCCTTAAGATAATATTACTTAATATTTCCTGTGCTATATGCTTCTACGAAACAGTATTATATCACTTTACCGAAGTAGGTGCACAACATGACTTATTTATATTCAATGTCTGTAGTTTTATGTTGTGCAGTACTATATGTCATGCCATTTTTCTCCCTTTCAGGTTGCGAGTGTGTAGTGTTTGACAACACATACTCGAAGGAATTCGGCATATTTACATCGCCCAATTGGCCGGTTCCTTACGAGGATAATATTGACTGTCTACTTTATACTTTTCTGGGTGGAGAAGATGAGATGGTTGAAATCAGCTTCGATGAGTTCGATCTCCAAAAAACCAATCTTGAGTAAGTCTTCAAACTACTTTTTCTATTGAAATGTTGTCAGCCATTTAACCTTGAATTTACAACAGTAGTTCAAATGATTTTAAGCAGCTTAGTCGAGAATCATACGAGAAAACCATTAAAAGTGCAGTAAAATTGGAAAAAGAAATGAAAGTATAATTAAAAGTGATTGAAAAAATAATAATCTAGGTAATTAAGGTATAAAATTAATAAACGTCCTGTACGAACTCAACTGGCAAAGGGATGAAGATGATGGAAAAAAATTCTAAACATGTATTTATTCATTTTTCCTTTTTTTTTTAATTTTCGAAAAACAAAAACTAATGCTGTTGGATTTTAGCTATATTTGGCAATACATTTAATTACCGTATTGGAATTTGAGATAGATAGAGCACGTTATTTTTTTCCCCTATTGATTTTTTTTCTAGCAAAAAATGCCAATACCATTTTGCAATCAGATGTTTTTGAAAATTAGTCAAACATTATAGAACTTTATGTTGTTAAATTTTATATGAATGGCTTTGTTTTCGCGTAATTTACGTTAAGATATTTTTTCACATCGGTTTTCATCAGTTCAAATGGTAATAAAAGTAAATTTTAAGAAATTGAAACAACCGATACGATAGAGATAAACATACTGAATTAAATTACCTATCCGAAATAGCTGACCACAAAATTTTATTGCTTTACACTTTTAAAGAAAAGTCAGCACTTCTTTAAGCTAAAAACCATTATTTCTCATAATCTATTAAAGCAATAACTTTTTTTTTTAAAAAAAAGTACAGTGCGTAAGTAAAAAAAAGTAAAAAAAAGTAAAAGTAAAAAAAAGTACTATTTCACGAATAAAATATTCAGTCCAACTGTATTCGTTAAGCCCTTACTAAACATAATTAATTTTAAAATATTAAACCATTAATAAATGATTTATACTGATTTTCGATGAATAATTAAAGAATTTCCAAAGCATAGTAACAACTATTCTTTTTATTTTTCTTTTCCTACCATTAGATGCAAGTTTGGAGATTTTGTGAAACTATTTCTGCATTTAGATGAGCCTTCTGTAAATGAAAAATCCACCGAAAACTCTGTTTTGTGTGGTAAAATAATGGACATTGAACAAACACATTATTCATCTGGGTCTACACTAATATTTGAATTCCACACGGATTGGCGAAGGACGAACAGTACGGGATTTAGTGGAACATACAGGTTTCTCAGTAAGTAAACTTTCATTTTCAATTCAATTTTACTAAATTATATTGCAATCACTTTTGCTTTTTTTCTTCATATTATAACCGTCGTTGAACAATCGACCCAATATGCCTTGTAAATTTGCCTTGTAATTTTGAACCCAATCCAGAAGACAAGAGAACTCCTGGATCAAGCACTGGGAGAAATTCACCTTCGTGGGGGACTTTTTGGTAGAACTCACCTGAATTTGCCTTACATGGAGAGGAAAATCATGAAAACCTCCCAAGGTTAGCTTGACGGCAAGGGTACTCTAACCCACTATCCGTCTACGTTAGCACTGTGGTCGGTGCGAGCCGGATGCGGAATTCGTATCTACCAGCCAAATAATGCGTTCCTTTTCGCACTCATGACAGGCGAGTTTGACTGTATAAAACCAATAAAAAAAATGCGTAAAATAAAAAACATATTTTTGTAAGAGGAAATTTATTTTTTTTTCTTTCGAAAAAAATCAAGGCGTTTAACCTAGCAAAAAAAATAATAAATAAATAAAGGTACGAATTAAGAGTGATAAAATAATAAGCATTTTCATGTAAATTCTCATTGTTGAAGAAAACGTTGAAGTTACGGGAAAAACACATTGTTTTTCCCGTACTGTTAAATATTTTAATTCTATTTTATTAAACAAGTTGTTTGTAAAAATTGCTTACACCATATTTTGTTAAATAATTTTTAAAAAAAGGTATTGATATAATTTAATATATTTTCTTAATCTTTGATACATAAATAAAAAAAAGAAGTATATGCTGAAAGTTTGCATTTTTTCAACTTTCTATCTGATTGAAGAAGATTTTTCCTTGCAATTTAATTTTTGACACAAAATATTTTAAAGGAGTTCTGTTTTAAATTTGAATAAATGTTGTGAGTTTAGTGCTGCCATCTTAAGTTCAAACTTGAAGTCTAGTATTTCTATTCATGGTGCTGCCATCTAACATCAAATATTGATAAAATAACAATTGATATAAAAAGAATATCAATTATGTATTAGGAAGCATCTTAAAATTAAAATTTAAATTTTGGATAAAACTTCTTGTTTTTAATGTGATACAAATTAGGAAAAAAAAATTCATAAAATCATTTATGTATCTATTAACAGAATTCATATTATTTATAAGCAATTCATTTTATTTAAAGTTACTTAATATTTTTTATAACCCTTACGTTTTTGCCTTTTATTTTTTAAATAGACTTATTTAAAGTACATCAAAAATAATAATAATTAAAAAAAATTACGAGTAAAATTTTTGAATAATTTAAGAACTATACACATGAGACTTCTTGCGTCTTGTTCTCGTAATTTCATGTAATTTAAATAATCTAACTTAAAGCAACCAACCTTTTGCAATCAATTTCTGATAAAATTTCGAATTGCTGTAAAATAGCGGGTGACACGATTTATAAAACAAAAGCATGATCATTTTAGATTTTTTAAATATTGATAAAGCAGCGTATTCAGATATGTTACACTTAATCAGATATTACATTTATCAGATATGTTACACTTAAATACATTATAACAAATAATTATTACTCTTAAATACATTATAACAAATAATTATTACACGGAATTCTTAAAAAATATTTTATTGTAAAAAAAGGCAAACAAAACTGGAATCTATCGAAACATTATAGAAACAGAATCTCATCATTTTTGTTGGAAAATGACTAACAAATGCGCAGGTATCCTTAAAAGCAAATTTGACACATTACATGCAATACAGTAAAAATTGAAATTATGTTGTGCAGCATTTTAAAAGCATATGAATTATATACATTGTTACATTAAAACTTGTAAATCTCTGATGAATTATCAGGTTTTACAAAAAAAATTCATCTTCCAGTTTATCGCGTTGCTTTGTTAATCGTGTTAATTTCATTATTTATACTATCTTTATCTTCGTTGTTTATTTTATTTTTTTCTTATTTTAAAATTAATTTTCAAAACCTTCACCAGTTATAATGATTATTCGAATTAATTTCAAATATTAGAATGTAATTAATGTCCAGATGTGAGAAAATAGAAAAAAAAAATATTTTTCTATTTTTAAGTAAAACACTAACTCGTAATAATGTGAAGATTAAAATTCATGAAAAAAGCATAAATAAATAATAATAAAAAAAGCGTTTTTAAGCTTGTTCCATTAATTTTTTTTCCTTTTCTTTTTACTTTGCTACAAGTATAATTATAATTATTTTTTTAGTATTTAATTATTATTTTTTTATATGTATAATTATTATTTTTTATATAAGAAATTTATTATTTTTTACATGTAGAGTTATTTCTTTTATTTTAGTCTGTGATATTCATTTAAATTAAGTTTTAATTTTGTATTTCAGTTATTCGCACAAAATTTAGAATAAAGCAACTGAAACATTTAAATAACACAAATGCTAGAGAATTTCCCATACTGTCGTTTAATCAGAATAAATTTCAAAACTTTATTCTATCTTTAAATTGCGGTTAAAATAAATTTAATGCACAATTAAAATAGATATTTTTCACCAAGTATAGTTTAATGTATATAAAATTTAAACTTAAAATTAGGCCATAATTAGTTTAAAAAATGATCTTCTGTTGAAATCTCCTGTTATTTGTTGAACGGCTTTAATACTTTTTGTAAACTTAATGTAAAGAAATTTTCTTTTCCTCTTAACACAATGTTAGAACAGTAAAAATACACTTACAGATTTCGCTTACTTCATGAAAATTTTAAAATCTTATAAAAACAGTTAATTATGTAGGTTACTTTTTCTCACCAACTACAGGCAGTGGAGGTACATCAGGTAATTCGACGGCATCGACTCTCATCGACGATCTAAGACTTTCTTCAATTGCTTTTGGGGGTGGCACTTCAGCTTCCACTCTTACATCAGCACTTCCTGGATTCGAAACACCTGGTTCATTCGATTTAATGAATGCTCTGAATCCATTCTTATCGGCAACATAGTTAACGAGACGATACACACCAAAAGGATCTCTGTAACCGTAACTTCCAGTAACAGTTCCTGAACCATCCGAGAATTCTTTTCTGTGCTGGTCTGTACCTCTTCCATCATTCATTTCATATCCGAATTCATATGGGGTTTTAACAGGGGGGAGATTTCCACTTATTTCACTTGGATTAGTTTCAATTTCGTCAACGGGCATATTTTCTATGGGTGGAGGTAGAGGTGCATCTGCTATAACATCAGATCCAACAGGTGGTGGAAGTGCAGGTGGTGGTTCGTTCAAGAGATTCGGGAGCACATTTTCGTTAGGACCCAAAGGAATATTTGGAAGAATGGGAGGAGGGGTAGTTGGAGGTAAAAGTCCTGCTGGAAAATTGAAAGGGGATACTAGCTCTGGAAGTGGTATTGGCACACCATAAGGCAATGAATTAATGGGGAAGGGGTTAGGAGGGATAAATCTTGGAGGAATAGGTTCTGCTGGATAAGGGGGTACAACAGGAAGTTGCCTTGGAGAAGAGAACGGTCTGCTTGGAACTCCTCTTGGAATCGTCTCTGCTGCAATAGGAGATTCTGCGGAATCTATTGGTTTGGGAGGCTGTGTTTGAGGTGCATTCCTGATAGCTGCACTTTCCGGTGACTCTGTCCCTGGCTCTCTGTCAAAATAAGGAGGTCTACTCAGAACATCTAATTCGGGATATAAAGTTCTATCTTCATTACTTCCTAAACCTGGAGGAGGATAAAACAATGGAGGTAGGGGATACTGAGAGAATGGTATGGCACGTTCAGCATTCCTTATATCACCATATCGCCTTTGATTGTAGTCTGGGTATGGTAGATTCTCTAAATAAGCTGGAGCAGAATTCATTCTGTTTCGCCTTCTTGGAACATTTTCCGGATATATAATTGGTGGTGGTATAGTCCAGTTTCCCCTAAAATTATCGTAGGATGGATTATAAACATCTTCTATTAAAGCATATCTGTTGTCATCTGGGTTTCTCGATGCATAATAAGGCACAGGAGGTAAAGGAAATATTCCATTAGCTTGTGGATATTGCATAAATGAAGCTGGTTGAGAAAAGGAATTATCGCTATCTGTCCAGTTCACTGAGTAAGCGTCCAGTGGTACGTCATAACTTGGGAAATAGCGGGGGTTTGCACCAGATCTATTTTCGAACTGTAATCGGGCACCATAAGGCAGACCTTGAAACGAAGCAATAATAGGTCCATATTGTGAGGGTAAGTATGGTTGAAATTGATTATTTCTACTCAATGGCGAGTTATCATTTTGAAAGTTGCGCTGATTAATTACATCCCAATCAGCAGTCGATGTCGGTGTGGTTGATTCAGTTGTAAAACGTGGTTCCGCATCACTCACTTCTTGAGAATGAACTTTGAGAACTAAAACCGAATAAACGAGAATCGTAATAGATATCATTTTTCAAATGTTATCACATGCCAGCGGTGATTGTTTTGGAGGCGAATCTGCTAGGCTATTGTCTTTTTATACTCATCTTTAAGTGAATGCATGGTTTGTTTTTTCCCCTCTTTCCTTTCACCTTCGAGTGATTCATAAATGAGGAATTATTCTTTCAGGCTGAGTGCCATTTTATGTCATGGGCGTTCTCAGGAAGACCACATCCATCCGTGAAAACAAATTATCACAGAAATTGGATGTTATTTGTGGTATTTTTTCTCACCCTTGTGACCGACACTGAAACAGGAATTGCTGTTTATGCACAACATATGTATTTTTAACTGAGCTATGTACTATTGTGTCCCGCTTGATATACAACCGACGCTAGAAAATTGGTCTTTGGTTTTTGGAGCATATTTTACCTAAGACACGGTTACAAACTTTTTAGTAACATTATGTTGAATATATTTAGTAATACAATGTGGAAATACATGATTAGACATGTATTTCTACTCATTACTCAGTTTTTTGTTATAACTTATTAACTAAATGACATACTATATGTTGATTCAGGGCAATTGTTACTGTGACTCAATCTTTATGCAAGGTCCAGTCCAGCGCTAGGGTACATAAAGAGTAAAATAAAGTTTCATTCTATTTCTTTCATGATTCAATTGTTTTTCCGATTGTTAAATTTTTTTTTATGACCATTTCTCACTTTCAAGGTTAACTAAGGAAAAATAACTGTTATTAATACACATCACACGTATTTTTAACTGCATTATTGTATCTTATTGGATGAACAGCCGGCACTAAAATTTTTAGAGCATATTTTTCTAAGACTCGCTTGAAAAAATTTCATAAGAATTGTTTGTTACACACGTTAAGTCGCAATAATTTCGAAACGTTTAATTAAACTTTCTGAGATATTGTTGCACGAATTATTTATTCGTTTACCTATTTTTTTTTCCTTTTACTACTGGCTTTGAACGGTTGATACATTTTTCGATTTCCGCCTATCAAATTTTGACGCTGTGACTTTAAACGTGAAACTCATTCTTTAATGTATGATACGATATTAAAAAACATTAATTATTTAGGGAAATTAAGTTTTAAAAATACTTTAATATCTTTAAAATACATTGTAATATTTTATGCATTATGTTAGCAACTTATATTCTATTTTCCTTTTAAAATTTCAAAGTGTGGGAGCATTTCATTTTCCTTGTCAGTTCCCTTGTCGTCCAAGTTAATTTTCGTGTGAAATTTGATTTAATTAACCGCTTTTCATTGAACTCAGCTGAAGGGCAAGATTGAGACGTATCTTAATGGTCGAAATTTCCACTTTTAAACTTTGCTTACAAATCACTGGAGGTTTTCTCAGCTATGAAAATTTCTACGAGCACATCACAAATGTTACGAGCAGATATTCAGCCTTAATACTTTTGTTAATACAAATATAAGGAGGTGCCAAAATAGCATATACTTCTCCATAGTCATTTAATTAAACTGGGTTAGCCGTTTTCAAATATCTAAGTGATTATTCATTTTAGATATCTGAAAACTAAATAAATGAGATAGAAAAAAAAAAGAATCCATTCAAACGAAATATCATCTTTCAAATGTTGTGCCACAAATTATTTGTCAGATGACTAAATTTTAAGAAAAAAATCGGAAGGAACTTAGTTGTCAACCCAATATTTGATAAACAGCTTATACTTCTCCATAGTCATTTAATTAAACTGGGTGAACCGTTTTCAAATATCTAAATAATGATTCATTTTAGATATCTGAAAACTAAATAAATTAGATAAAAAAAAAAGAATCCATTCAAACGAAATATCATCTTTCAAATGTTGTGCCACAAATTATTTGTCAGATGACTAAATTTAAAAAAAAAATCGGAAGGAACTTAGTTGTCAACCAATATTTGATAAAATAGCTTATGTCATTTAATTAAACTGGGTGAACCGTTTTCAAATATCTAAATGATGATTCATTTTAGATATCTGAAAACTAAATAAATTAGATAGAGAAAAAAAAAGAATCCATTCAAACGAAATATCATCTTTCAAATGTTGTGCCACAAATTATTTGACAGATGACTAAATTTTTAAAAAAAAATCGGAAAGAACTTAGTTGTCAACCAATATTTGATAAAATAGCTTATACTTCTCCATAGTCATTTAATTAAACTGGGTGAACCGTTTTCAAACATCTAAATGATGATTCATTTTAGATATCTGAAAGCTAAATAAATTAGATAGAAAAAAAAGATTCCATTCAAGCGAAATATCATCTTTCAAATGTTGTGCCGCAAATTATTTGTCAGATGACTAAATTTTAAAAAAAAAATCGGAAGGAACTTAGTTGTCAACCCAATATTTGATAAAATATTATTTGACAATTTAATTTAATACTATGTAAAGTATACTAATTACAATAGACTCTAAATTAATCAAACTTTATAAATAGATTCACAACACATTCGCAGCATTTACAAATGATATGAGTAAAAAATGAGTAGAAAATAAATTTGGAAATTAGTAAATCGGAAGATTTACAAATTTCCAAATTTATTTTTTACTTTGATAACGTCTTATACAATTCTGACGAAAAACATAATTCTCGTTCTTACTATTTTCTCTTTCTTATTAATTTATTCTTACAATAGATTCTAAATTACTCTAATTTTATTTGTAGATTCACAACACATTTGCAGTATTTAAAAATGTTAATTCTGATTTACTAATTTAAAATTAATTTTTTTCTTTGATAAAGTTGTACACTATTCTGAAGAAAAACAAATTTCTCGTTCTCATTATTTACTCTTTCTTATTATTTTCTCTTTCTTTTTCTTGTTATTTTCTCTTTCTCTTTCTTAATAATTTTTTCTTATAATAGATTTTAAATTAATCAAACTTTATTAATAGATTCACAACACATTTGTAATATTTAAAAGTGATTATTCTGATTTACTAATTTCAAATTAATTTATTACTTTGATGAAGTTATACACTACTCTGACGAAAAACAAATTTCTCGTTCTCATTATTTACTTTTTCTCTTCCTTATTATTTTCTCTTTCTTTTTCTTATTATTTTCTCTTTCTTATTAATTTTTTCTTTTAATAGATTCTAAATTACTCAAACCTTATTAATAGATTCACAACACATTTGTAATATTTAAAAATGATAATTCTGATTTAATAATTTCCAAATTTATTTTTTACTTTGATAATTTCATATACATTCCGAGTAAAAACATAATTCTCATTCTTACTATTTTCTATTTTTCTTTTTTATTAATTTCTTCTTATCCATTTGACTTCAGTTAAGTATTGAGCCTCTTCAACTTCTATTAAAATGCCATGAATCATCTTAAATATCATCTTGCAAAAATAAAGTAATTTCTATAATTTGTTTTAATTTCTTACCTTTGATGCGATGATAGCAAATCCATCAGACAAATTGAATTAAATGAAAGAAACATACCAAATTTCCCTCTAATTAGTAAAAAAGAAACGCCAGGAGATTTGTAAACGTCGTTTTTAAATAATTAATTACTTTCTTCAAGGTTATTTGTTGAATGTTTAATCTAGGTAATGTATTCACTGCAGTGCTAATTCTCTTTTCATTAAAATAACATCATCCACTTAAGCGATTTAGATTCGTTGGCTGAATTTGAATCGAACGAAATATCTGTGGGGAATATTCAAAGTGCATTAAATGCAAATTTAAAACAGCAAATTTACGTTAAAATTATTCAACAGAAAAAAAAATTGGAGATAAAAAAAATTGGTATTGTTTATACACTAACCCCAACCGACTAAATCCCAAATGAATAACTAATGCTTTATGTTCTTAGTTAACGTTGTTGAGTGCATTATTTTGGTCTTTCTTTGGATAAACAATTTGCGATCTGGGATTTTACTTCTATAAGGCTTTTTAAGAAAAAATCCAGTTTAAAAAGTACCTTATCTATAAGCTATTTTGGAAAATAGTAAACAGGTAATTACTGTTAAATTAATTTACTGTTAACTAGTTTTCCTTTAGAGTTCTTTTCCCTACAATTGCAAATTGTTCCATTGTTGCAAGTTATTCTATTATTCACCATTTTGAATGCTTTATGTTCTGAGTCAGCTCTGTTGAGTACATTATTTTGACTTACTTTGGAGTTATCCAAGATTTTATTTCTATAAGACTTTTCTTAAGAAACAATCCGTTTTAGAAAGTACCTTATTTATACGCTATTTTTTAAAATAGTAAACTGTTAGGTAATTAGTGTTAAACTAATTTACTGTTAACTTGCTTTTCTTTAGAGTACTTTTCTCTACAATTACAAGTACAATTATAAATTATTCGATTGTTACAAGCTACTCCATTATTCGCCATTTTTACGACCTCAAACACCTGTTTCCTTGACGTATGCCTGTTTAGGCAGGGGGGGTGCGATTGTTCTTGTTTTCCAGTGGCGCCATCTATGGCCAAGAATTCGACTTCTGCCACACCATACGTCGCACCCGTTTATAGGGCGGACCCATTCATACATCCATTCATTCATTCATCTACAGATCGCAATTTTGACCTGAATCAGAGAACGATCGATCTCCAATCCAGTACCCCCAGAGGTTTGATTTGTTATGGGAACATGGAAGACCTTTGCGACTCGACAGATTTAACGTGCATCAGTCACTTTACTACACGGGGAGGCTTCGGTCGGCGGAGTTCGAACCCACGAACTCTCTGACATGGGCCCAGCGCTCTACCAACCAGGCTATCCCGGCACAGCCTCAAACACCTCATTTTTGAAAATCGTTAACTATTTGGTAATCAGTGTTAAATTAAATTCCTTTCCCTACATTTACAAGTTATTCCATTGTTACAAGTTATTCCATTAACCTTCATATTTGCGTACTCTATGCCTCATTTTTAAAAATCGTAAACTGTTTAAGTTACGTTAAAGTTAATCGTAAACTATTTAACTTAAGTGTTAAACTAAGTTCTTTTCCCTAGTTTAAGTTCTTTACCCTACGATTGCAAGTCATTACATTATCCTCCCTTTTAGAGTCCTCTGTGT